TGATATATTCTACCATTGGCTGATGCTTTAACAAGTTCTTCATGAACATCACCAGTAATTTGTGCACTGAATAACTTTTTAAGCATTGCATTAAGTCGTTCTGAAAAGAAGAAAGTGAATATAAATAGTTAATAAAATCATCTTACATATAGAAAACAAAATAAGAAATATAAATTACTTTAAAAACTTTTATGATTACTAAAATATTTCTATTAATATATATTTATTAATTATTTTGACTTAGAGCTATAGTAAATAATCAAAAGCATGGATGCATCTGGTCGAGACATTTTTTACTGAACTGAAGGTCATCATAGATTCAAAAATGAATATTCAGTATCATTTTGGAAATCTAAGACACATATTCTTTCTTTTTTATGTTGAAGTAACATTAGATGTTCGCGTTTTTTCTCATCTGAGAATACGATTATCTCATATTAGGACGACAATCAATTTTTAAATAATTGAAAAATAGATATTTAATATATCCTAGGATATAAATTTGCAAATAAGCTATTATATTTACCTTCATGACCATCTTCCAAAGTATGTGTTGAGGTAACTTTAGTAACAGCGAGTGGATTAAAAATCCAACAACCACCACCAACTTGAACTTTAACATCACCATCAGCATATAAATGAACAACTCGACCAACTTTTCCAAGTGCCTAAAAAAGCATATTGATTAATAATAATCATAGATACAAATCTTATTTTATACTTACTGGTACCATGGCTTCAGCCCATTCACCATGTCCACGTTGAAATATTTTAATTCTTTCTAAATCACTACATATTTGAACCATATCATTAACTTTTAATGGTTGATTAGGCATAACGGACGCTGTTGTTCGTGCTATAGTAGCTGCTGTTTGTTGTCGTTGCATAGCTGTTTGTTGTTCGGGTGTTAATTCAACTCGTGTTAATAAAGTTGGATTTAAAGTCCATCGATTTCCACTTGGATAAACAACAACAACATCATGATCTTCATCAAGACTTTGTACCATACCAGTTGTACCCAAACATTCAAACATATTATCTGTCCAACCACCATGACCATGTTGAAGTGTTTGAACTATTTCAAGTTCTAAATCAATATTGACATAATCACCTACTTGAAATTGATGACTCATTTCAGGTGTTAATCCAGATGATAAATGTTCTCGAGAATAATATGTTTCACCTGATAATAAAACAATGAAAACTCAAAACAAAAAAAAAAAGATTAAACTAAAATTTGTTTTACCAAGTAATGGAGTATGTTCAGAATAATAATGACCACCTTTGCCTGGTGTTAGTGCACGTAAATCAACCTGAAATTAAAAGAATTTTTTTTTTTCATTCAGAAACTTATTCCAAGAAAGATATTCTTACCATTCCATTAAACCCTACACGATAAAGATTTTCTCGATCATTATCCCAAACTACATAAGCAGCACTACGTGGATGTGTTTTTGACCAATCTTGTATTTCAATGATTTTACCATTTTTTTTCTCTCCAGAATCTTGATCACCATAATTCCAATCGGGTCCACGAGAAACTTTTGCACTAGGATAAAGACCACGGAAAGCTAATTTTTTTGCTCTTCGTCTTGGATCAATCAAAATTCTAAAATCAAATGAAATAGATAATGTGTTAAATGAATAAGATAAAATAAATCTAAGTCATTATAAAAATCACAATTCAATGCAAGCAACAATGAGCAGCTTAACTTACCATGCAAAAATCTGTTAAATAAACAACCAAAAAGCAGGAAGTAAGTGAGAAAGGTATAATGACATTCATTTAACAATTGAATGATACAATATAGATATATATATAGATATATTTCACTTACTTTTCACCATGTGGAGTTACAATACGACAAAATCGATGACGAGTATTATGTCGATCATTATGATAACACATAGAACAAAGATCAACATTTGGACAATCACCACAATGCCAACGAATACCTAAGATAATAAATTAATTATAATTATTTATTTAACATTTATTCACTTACCATATATTGGAGTTTGTCCACATCCAGAACAAACTGAATTATCATGATAAATACCTATTCAATACCATAAATCGAATTGAAATTCATCTACATCGAACAAAATCTTACCCGTTGCACTATTATCTAATATTCTTAAATCAAACTGTGTTCGACATCGATAATGTCGTCCAATTTCACCATGATCCCAAACAACGATAACTTCTTGTTGTTCATTATTATTTTCATTTTCAAATGATTTTACCGTTCCAACATGTCCTTCTCCACCATCTTGTTTTCCATATTTCCAATCGGGACCACGTACAACTCTTGTTCCACATATATATCTATCAATAACATGATTATTTGTTGTTTGATTAATTAATTCAATATTTGATCGACGATTTGTTGTTCCACCAATAGCATTATCTATTAAATTATTTTTTTTATTCTCGGTTTGCATTATTTAATAAAATAAGAATAATCTGCAACAATTATGAAGATATATATATATATATATATTTTTTTTTGTTCAAAAAAAAAATCACCATTATAGTGGTATAAAAAAAGAAAATACAAATTTATACATAAAATATCTTTTAGACCGTCGAAAGTAACAAAAAAAAAAACCAAAACCAATGCATATTTATATATATATATATGTGTTTTTCTTGCTCAACGAAAAAAAGAAAACTGGAGTTTATTCTCTATCAACATGAACAGTTCGTAATTTAACCAATAGATATATGTATAATATAAAAAAAATAAAAGAACGGAGATGCATAAATGATGCATAAATAAATACAAGATAATTTAAACATTTTCATTTTCATCATCGATGTCATTTGAAGCATTTATTTCTTGTTCAACAGCTCGTGTTGGTTTAGCTACAGGTTTTTTAGTTGTTGTTGTTGTTGTTGTTTTCGCCATTTGTCGTTTTGAGATCGTTCCAATATGAGCACTCTAAAAAAACATATACAGATCATTAATATATTGATTTTTATTAAAATTTATAACACAATAGAGGATGAAGAAGAAGATTTCAAACGATAGATTCAGTTAAGAAGATATGTGCAAATTTTCGTTTTTTAATTACCTGTTTTTTCTAATACGTAGAAAGGAGTAAACAGTAAACCGTATAGAGAATAAATTAAAAAAAGAAAAAGTAAATATTTACTTCATTTGATGAATAGACTGTCGAACTTGTTTTGTTTCCTGCACGTTGTTTTTTACGAATTATATCTTCTGACGTTTTTAATTCACCCAATGGATTCTCAATTGTATTATCAGGATTTTCTCGTTGTTCTAAAAAAAATAATTTTATTTAAAATTATAATTTCAATATAAAACTACTAAAATTTAAAGTCATATAAATTTTTCTTTTTTCTTTTTTTTTACCTATTCCCTATTTATTCTTTCGTTTAGGAAAAAAACCGAACAATCTATATCTGTCAACAGTAAGGAATTCCTAAAGTATCATCACCAATAAAAATTATCGTATCAGAGGACGTAGACTCATCAGCAAAGAATATGACAAATTTGTCTCATTTCTGTATCTATGTCATCCTATATTAGTTAATAACCTCGTAGTATATACTGATAGTAAATCTTTATTAGTTTTTAAATATTTTATAATAGAGATAATTAATAGATATGAATGCTAATGAAGTACAGAAAATCATTTTTGTTTTAAAGAATGATATTATAGTTCAGTTTTAACAAAGAAAATATAACGAATTTGAATATTTCAAGAATCATATTGAATTATTTTAAATATTTTATAATTAATTAAACAATAGATAATATTCGTAAATAAATTAGCAAGAGAGCTTCTTCTTTTCTTGTTTAATAGATTTCTTATCTGAATACTTATCACCGAAGTATCCTTGATCAACGTATGTGCTGTTATTAATATTGTTTTGCGATGTATTTTTGCCTGAGGCTTATCGAGTTTTTTATGCATTCTGTGCGACGTTTTCCATTCACATCAAAGTTTGCACGAAGCCATATTATTTACATTCTTTTGTATTAAAATAACAAACCTTTAACATGAAGGATAGACATTCTTAGAAGAAAGAACTATTATTTTAATGAAGAATAAACAGCTGATTTTAAGATGGAAATAAATTTCTTGAGTACGATGATATCTCGGAAATGTACTTGTCATTGATAAATATGTTTCATTTTTCATGCAAAAAATATTTCTAACTTCTTTTTTATTATTCAAAAACGATCTCATAAACTATATTCTCTATTATAAGCAAATAAAATTTCGAAAGAACCGAGTACAATTTATGTTCAACATAGGATTAACTTATACAAGCCATAAGAATTGTAGTCACTCAAATTATATAGGATTGAAACAAAAAAAAAACTGTTTGCACAATTTTACACTTCTTATTAACCTTGTCTTGTTTATTTAAATAAAAAACTTACGTAAGCGTGCTCGTCTATTAACATTATTGTTGCTTTTTGATGGATGTGTCTGAGCTTCCTTCAAACGTTTATTCACTTTTGGATCTATTTCTATTAGAGATAAATGAAATAGTAATTTAAAGAGTAAAACATAAAAAATAAACCTTCATCTTCTTCAAGTAATGTATCAGGTGGACTAAATAAACTTTTTAATGGGCTACTATCAAGATCACTTGTACTTAGTGAACGTTTCAAATGTTCACCTAAATATGCTTGACCCTATTATTAAAAATAAAAATAAAATAATTTTTTTTATTAACTAAAAATGTCTTACCAATACAGCAGTATTTAAAAACATGTTTGATGCATAACGAAAACTTTTACTAGTTAAATCACATAATGTCGTATAGCCTTTTTGTTTAGTTTGTTCAAGTAATTGATCAATTTCCTAAATACATTCAAAATATATTTATCTTTCAATGAATAAACGAAAACCAAAAATATACTTGTTCACGTTCTTTAAGCACCGGTTGAACAAAACGTTTATATAAAAGTGTTGAACCAGCTGGTGAAATCATCCAAAGTACAAGAAAAATTTTAATCCAATAATAAAATGGAAACCTAGGAAATCAATTCAACACAAAAAAAAATACACTTCTATTTTTTGTTCTTTTCTTTCTCTTATACCATGATAGAAAAATATCAGTTATTGTTTCACATGCAATAAATACAGAAAATACAATCCAATATCGAAGACAATTAACCTAGAATATTAAATTAAGAATTTGCTTTTTTTTTTTCTTGAATAAAATTTTCATTTTTAATTTATACCACTTCACGTAAATCTGAATTAATAAGTGATTTGTATGATCGATACCCGGGATATAGTGTACCAATAGTTACACTAGAATATCACGTAAAATAAGTTGATTATTAATAAAATCTACATAAATATTCTTACATGATACAACGAGCAAGTAGACTTGATACCATTACAATAGTTTGGAGGAATAAATGTATATGACAATAAAAGTTAATAATCACTTATTATTATCTAAAAAAGAAATAACAAACAACTTCTATGATAGAGACTGCAATTGAAATCAAATATTTTAAATGTAACCATATATTTATATTGCTCGAATTTTCTCTCTTCATCTGTTCGCTTACGCAATCAATCGCGTAACTAATAGCCCTTTTCTATCAATAAAACAATAAAGAAAGAAACAGTGGTATCATCAGACATGTTCACATGTTGTTATAGAACATGAAAAAGAAATACAAAGAGAAATGGGGAGTTGATGGTGTCTTAATTGTCACATTTTGTCTGTCTGATTTACTTCGATATGCTCCGTTATAATAATAATATAGAAAAACAATCTCGACGACGTCTAACAACAATAATAATGTTTCTATCTGAACAACTACTTTTTTCTCTTCTTTCTATTTACAATAACACAGTCAATCAACTGTCTTCTACTACTTCATTTCTTTCTTTCTTCCTTTCTTTTTCTTTCTTTTCTTTTTTCGTTTCTGCAGCCTTATTATTATTATTAGGTACAAACGGCCAATAGACAAAAAAGAACAGTGTGAATACCGACCGACAGCGACATTATGTTGATTATTAAAAAAAAAGAAATAAAACGATTTTGCGAGCTCGTGTAATATAATTTGAAAATAGACGACACAAATACAAAGGAAAGGCAACGTAGTAATTATATTATGTTTAGATATATTCATACAAATGTTCTTATGCAATGTTGAGCCTAGTTTGATATAGATTCGAATATGTGTGTTAAATGCATTGAAAAAAAAAACGACTAGATCTTAAGATAATGTACAATGAAAAAACACAATGAACATACAATTACAACTTAGATGAAGAAAATATTATGCTCATAATTGGTTTTATCGTTAGAAGAAATAAGAATAAATCTAAAACTAACACAAAACGCATAGGAGTCAAACTAGTTGGTCTTTCCACACACAAACACACACATACATCAAAACACAAGAGCATAAAAATTAAAGGAAGAAAACAAAGTACAATAATACAAATTGCACAAAACAAAAAAAAAAAAAAAAGAGAAGAAGAACAAAAACAAGTTGTTTTGTATCACTCGGAGATATTATTTTATGATGCTCGTTTGAACATACTTGGAACGTCTAAAATAAGAATATTTATATATATAGATAAAAATAATTTTAAATTATTTAATCCATTTACTTTTTAAAAATGATGTTTGGAAATAATTTGGAGGTAAATAATGAAATGTTATCCAAACAATGACAAGAATTAACAAAGTCATAGCATGAACACTAGAAAAGAATATGATAGAAAAAGAAAAAATAATAATTATTATAAATTTCATATAATAAATATTTACCGTGATTGAACAAGATTTTTTATTGTTGATAAAAGCAGAAGAATAATAGCAAAAACAGTCAATACAATATTGACAAGTTTACTTATAATTCGATGCGTATTTTCTTCTGTTTCAAGTGAATGTGTTTGAGTTTGTTCAACTTTGGCAGTCTAAAGATTTAAAAAAAAAAGAACATAAACAAAAAAGTAAAATAATATCAAACATTATATTGATTTATCTTAATAGGACGTATCATTTATTACAGATATCCTACAGAGTACGAGGAAAGACTATAGAAACGATATAATAATCTTTAGTCATACACTGAATATGCCAAATATCATTCTATTCTTAGAAACAAAAACAAACAAATGATATATGTATAAAAAATAATCAAAA